TTTTCCGTGTTAAGGTTAGAAATAAGATGACTTCATAGTGATTGCTCTGTCAACGGTCGTCGAGATGGTTTACGCTAATAAGTGGATTAAATGTGCCACAGCTTAAAGGTCTAAGCAGTTAGTGATTTCCTTTTGTTGTCGATGAAGCCACAAGCTTATGAATCATATTTCAGTTTTTCTAGGTTAAAGCACGTTTGGTAAAAAAATACAGTTGGATTATTTTTCCTCGCTCAGCAGAGCGCAGGAGACTGAATACTTATATGCCGCTCACACAAAGCATCGATGTGCAAAATTTCCCTATTTTACCGCAGTGTAAACATTGTTTTTAACAACTTTCTGAGGTTTAAAATACAAAAATGTATTTATTGACAGTATTCCGGGTCAGAGGCCGAATATGTTATTGTTAATTTTAAATTTTCGGAAATTAACCCCTCTTTCTGTGTACCTTCGAATAATTCAGTACTCTGAAAGACGATTTCTGACACAATTTCGTAACCGTTAGTGTTTAGATGAGGCTAGCAATTAATGTCAAAAACCATAAATGAACATATGTGCCAAGATAGGTAAATACGCCACTTGCAGCACAAGGCAAAACCTGATGTTCGTTCTTCAGAAGATTCAGCCCGTTATCCTGATCTGTATGTTCGTACTGGTAGGCAATTTTCAGTGCATCAGCACACATAAAAGGACTATAATGCTGAAATCAGTCTGCTATATCGTTAACAAAATATCTGTATAATGGCTAAGGTGCAGTTTTTTAATCGCTTTCGAGAGGCCCGATAGGGAGTGTTGATCATCGAGAAGCGCATTAGCGGGATGTCGGTTGTGGGGAAGCGAGTATTATGTTCTAATTTGAAAGCACCTTGAACGTTAGAGTATGAAGGTCTATCTGAATGGCCGATCGGAATCGATAGTTGCTGGATAAGAAAATACGATGTACCACTACAGTAGCACTCCTTAATTTTGTCAGCGTAAATAGCCAGCTTATCCAAGAGAACGCTCGGATGAGCATGGCAAAAACTTGCTACGCAGCTAATCCAAGCCGATCGCGCAAAGTATGCTGCATCAACGATGCAATGACCACTGAATAATAAATGTATACGACGTATGAGTTGCGAAGTCGATATATCCGAGTTCAACCTGGGTAAAGGGCGCATGCAACATTCTGTAAGGCGGTGTGAGTGTTCGACAGTCAATTAAGACGATGTCCACCGTATGCTCCACAACGGGGTGGTGCAGGTTTGTCGTACCCTGATCTAGCCCCAGTGTTAATCTAGCGCATTTACCATGCGACTTGTTTTGGTGGCACAAGCAGTTATGACACACAACACACACTGAACTGACCGTTCAGTCCGAATTTCCCGTCAGTTTTCAACATTCCAAGCCAAGACTTCTAACGCACCGTGATAGCTTAAAGCGCGTCAGGTTGTTTATAGTGAGAAAAATGTCTTGAACTGTCG